AGGGGCTTATATCAGACCTTAGAACAAGGGATTTAATTTTTTGAAAGAAAAGGGATGACATTAAAATTGTTGATGATAGTTCATGCTATTGTATGTTTTGCAGATACACTATGAAACAACGGGTCCAGAGATCTGGGAAGACACAAGTGGCAAGGTGGATATACTTGTTGCTGGGATAGGGACTGGTGGAACCATTTCAGGGGTTGGTCAATACCTCAAAAAGCTCAATCCTAATATTAAGGTAACGAAATTGCCTCTTAGAGAAACTCATGTATGCTTGCAGTGTGACAAGTGAGTTTAATACTGATGAACTCATTTCTGTCTTGCCTAAGAAATCAAAGTTTTTCAAACATTTTGCTTGTCTTCTTCTTTTATGGTAACACTCCATTCTGTTCCTCCATTGCTTCAGATTATTGGTGTGGAACCTACAGAAAGTAACATACTGTCTGGTGGAAAGCCTGGTAAGATGACAAGCCAAATATGATATACTTTCTTTTTCAGGGTTAAATTGTGTATAGTTCTGGTATATGGAATTTGAAACTGCAGGCCCTCACAAAATTCAAGGGATTGGAGCAGGTTTTATACCAAAGAATTTAGACCAAGATGTGATGGATGAAGTCATAGAGGTCTGCGTTTGTATTCTATATAGCTATTGAACGCTCTTTGTCACTGTGGCTATAACTTCGAGTTTTTACTCATTGTATGCTTAGCTAATTAATCAATCCAAAAAATTAACATTAGCCTAAAAGAGGAGCTTCAACTTTGGAGGTTCTAACTCTAAATTTTGTGCTCTATAATGCATTCATATCGAACTTTCTTCAATACCTCTTTTGATCTTGTTGGATCTTGGTGAAGACAATGTTGAGGATAACTGGTTTGCATATGGAATAGTTCTGTATTTGGTTGTAAAATAACACATTAAATTTCTATAAATCATTAATCATATCTCTAGGCTGGAAAACTTAATTGTAGATTTATGTTTTTTTCCTGACAGGCATAAAGTTCAATTGAAAATTTTACCATTCTGTCAATTGATTTTTTTTTTTTTTGCTTTCTTTCTTTCTTTCTGTGGAGCAGATATCAAGTGATGAAGCTGTTGAAACTGCAAAGCAATTAGCTCTTCAAGAAGGCCTGCTGGTTAGTTGTTCACTCTAGTTTTGTGCTAGGTGAACATATGACTGAACATTTATTACCTCCTGCATTTCCTATTAAATTGGGAAAATTTTATAACTGTGGTCCCAACCTTTGACAAATTAAGCACTTGATCTCCAGTAAAAATTTCTAACATTAGATCCTCCAATCATTCATCTATGTTGCATGTGCGTCTCTATTGGATGGAACTGTCCATTTTTCCATCAAAGTGTCACTTGCCTTATAT